AAAACATGTGTGCAGTACACAGTAGTCAAACTGGTGACAAAAAATAGTAAACTGAGATTTCTTTACTTCAGAGACAAAATACAGCTGGAAAATTCACCACAGTAGGACAATAATTCCCAATGGAATTATTTCCAGAATAGACAAGTTAACTACTCAATTTAGGATTTAGTCCATAATATATGCAAGTCCAGAGTTTTCACCAGTGCAAAATCTGTATCAGTAAATAAATTCCTCCACTAAAACATTTATTGTACAAGACCCATTTCTACATAATCTCAAATCAAAACTGTGTCTTCAACAGGTAATCTGCAGTTCCCATAGTTTTGTTTTATTATTAAATTTTAAATAGTTACACATTGTTTATATTTGCATGATGTTATCTTATTGTGGTTTTTAATATGTTTATACCTATTCCCCTGTGTCCAGAATTAGAAAATCATTAGAAAATAATTTAATTTTAGATGCAAAAGCCCCAAACAACCCTAAACCAAGTGGAACTGGCTTTGATTCACTTGCTCTTTGCTTCTGGGCTCACATCTAAAAGGATGCAGTGAGCTTGATGCAGGAAAATCCCAAAGCTTTCTTGGTGTTTGGTCTTACCCATTTGATCCTTCCCAGTGATTTTCACTTTGGCAGAGGGGTCGCTGTAGGGGCCCATCCCTGCCTTGCTGGTGCAGGCTGTCCTGAAGTGGTAGGTGAAGCCCTGGGGGAGGTTTCTGGCATAGTAGCAGCAGTCAGTGATGTCAGAAGCAAGAGTCGTCCACTCCCCATCTTAACCAAGGGAAGAGAGAAAAGAGACCAGGACTCATTTTAATATGGTCACAATGGGTGTGAGGATTTTTGAGATTTGGGGTTTTGTTATGTTTTTTTGTTGTGGTTTTTTTTTTTCACCAGCTTTACTTGTGTGCTGGGATTGTGGAAAAGCCAATTTACCATGGCCATTTTGGGGCTGTACCTGTGTTATTCTCTAAAATCAGCTGGTTTATATCTGATAATTCCAAGTTGTGCAAATATTGTTCCAGAGGAGTGGTGAAATTTTCCTTCTCTTATCTAATTCATGCCACCAAACTCTACTGGAAATGTACATCAAGAACTTCAAACAAAAGACAAATCACATTTTTTTTTCCTGTTGGCCCTGTCTTGAATCCAATTAAGACCATGAGGTGCAGGGTTCCTGGACAGAGCCATCCACTAACACCATCCCAGCAAACCCAGTGTTTGAAACATGGACGGTTTTACTCAGGTTTTTTTGAAACTCAGATGATTTCTCATGGAATTGGAATTGTAGGTACCTTCTGGACTCATTATTCATGGGACTAAGTTAGGAAGGAGAAAATCCCCAGCAAACATTTTAATCAGCATTACTCCCACACGATGCTGCATCCCACGTTTTGCTGCTGTGCTCAAGGCCGAACGCAACTCCCTGCAACTGCCTGAGATGAAACCCATCCTTCCATTCAAATAAATTCTGGCCAAGAGACTCAAACCATTGGATAAGCAGCAATTCCCCACCCAAACCTGAGGTATCAATGATTTTACAGGGTACTGGTTGAATTTGGGGCTGTTTGTGCAAGAAGGAGCACATACAGCTTAGAACTAGAGACAAATATGTGCAGAAGCAGCGTAGAAAAACCTCTTTTCAAATAATGGATAAAACAAAGAATTTATTCCTGATTATCTTAATCCTCCTGGGTTCAGAAGAGCAGGATTTTGCATGTTCCTGCCAAATACACAGAACGCAGTGGAAAATTGTAGATGCTGTTTCCCATTTTTCTTCCTAATTGGAAGAACTTGTGTTTGTATCCTCTCCAAAATCTCTCCTACAGTTGTATGAAAAGGAATGATGATAAAGAATGTGTATTGGAGGTGTTGGAAGGAAGGTGACTCACACCAGCTCCAGAGGGAAAGGGCAGAAAGCTGCTACCCATGCTAATCCAAAAAGGAGTGTTCATGGATTGTTTGTTTGGAGAATTAAGTGAAGGAATATGGAGCAGCTGAATCCAAAGGGCTGTGTTTGTGTGGGCTGCAGCAGGAATTGCTATCAGACATCACACTCAGAATAACGACAGCAAATCCGTCCCAAGAGAGGCAGAACAGCCTTGGGGATTTGATACAAAGCTTTTATAGCTAAACAGGAAAACATTTACTTTGGACAAGGGCAGATAGTGACAGCAAGAGTGGAAACAGCTTTAAACATTGAGAGACTTAGATTAGATGTCAGGAAGAATTTATTATTCAGAGGGTGAGGAGGCCCTGGCACAGGGTGACCAGAGCAGCTGTGTCAGCCCCATCCCTGGAAGTGTCCAAGGCCAGGTTGGATGGGGTTTGGAGCAGCCTGGGATAGTGGGAGGTGTCCCTGCCCATGGCAGGGGCTGGAATTAGATGTTTTTTAAGATGCCTTCCAAGCCAAGTCATTCCATGATTAAATGATCCTCTGACTTTCATCAGCCCCTGGACCAAGCCTCAAAAGAGAATATCAAAGTGGTGATGCAGTTTTGTCAAACTTGGTTTATCTTGTCCTGGATCTTTTCCCTAAGCTTCCTCCATAGCCAATGGGAAAAGGAAGCACAGCTGTTTAGCAGAGGATAAATTGCTTGTTTAATAAATCATCTTTCTCCAAGACTGTACAGAAAACCTGAGCTGGGATGATGTTGTTTCATTAGTGTCTAATTTTGTCAGATTACCCAGAGCTGCATATCAGACCAGGAATTTTCTCCTGTAGCTGCTCCCTTTTTGGTTGCACTTTCCACACAGCCTTGTTTGATTCACACTTAAGCAAAGCCTTGGTAGGAATATGCAAATTCCAGGCTGATTTAACCAGCACAACCCCTAACTTTCAGATGGTTAAATGATAGCTGCATGAATCCCATTCCTAACTCTAAACTGGAAAATTAAATCAGGCTGTTTCTGAATAACAATGAAATATCCAGCTGGTGAGGAGATCATACAAACTGAGATGTTCCTTGCAAAGCATAAGGACAGCACTTTACCTTCAGTCTTGCACTGGACAGTGTAGTGGACAGGGGTGTTGGTTTCCACAGGTTTCCAAACCATCTGCACTCCATCCTTGTAGACCTCCACGATGTCAGGGGGTGGAGGGCAGGGGGGAACCTCTGTGGAGAGGAGGCACAAACCCCATCATGCAGCACTGCTGTGATACAAAACTCTACACCCAGCATGTCTCAGCTACAGATATTGTTTATATATATGTAGAAAACATGTATATGTTTGTTATGTATACATATATATACACAGAGCTTGTGGAATAGCAATTTCACCATCCCTAATTTAAACTCAGTACTAAGATTGTTGTCTTGGAGTGGCTCTTAATCCAGGAGAGAAAATAAAGAGGGGAGAAGAGGGAGAGAACCCTGCAGTTCTTCAGGCTTCAGACCACAGCAAGGGAGAGATCTTCCCCTGCACCCATGTGCAGAAATCTCACTTCAAAGGTATTGACAGGTTACATTTTTGGGGGCAGAAGTACTTAAATACCTATTTCTTTAGGTACTCCTTCTCTCACCTGCTTTTCTTATGACACAAGAGGTGGATGCTGAGCCCAGAGAGTTTGTGGCCACACAGGTGTAAATACCAAAATCCTCGGTATTAACAGAGAGAATCGTTAACAGCTGAAAGTGTTTGAGTGTGGAAGAGATGAGGATCCGGCTGCTGCTCTGGACAGGGATCCCATCTGGAAAGCAGGAGAAGGGAGAGATAAGTACCCTGAAAATTGATACCAAGGTGCTTAAAGCTCTCCCTGCAGCGCTGTCCCGGGGGTCAGGGACTCTCTGGAGGGCTGGCAGTGTCACCTCTGAACCAGCTGATGTGCAGGGAGGAGTGAGCTGCCGTCCGGCACGAGAGCGTCACGCACTGTCCCGCGGCCGCAGCCTGGTCCATGAGCTCCTCAACAAACGACGGGGCTGCAGAGAGGAGGGAAAGGGGTGACTCAGAATAGCCTGGAGACCTTTTTGTGGAAAACAAATCCCTGCAGGACATCAGAAAGCGTTTTTAATGGGGTGAAGAATTTTTCTGGTTCCTGGTCTGCCATTGCTTTGACCACCATTTGGAGAATCCCCTGGGCATGGAGCACACAGGTGAAGGAACCCTGTTCACCCATGGGTGCAGTGGGACAGATGGATCTTGGAAAATCCATGGGGAATATCTGCATTGTCCAGCCCTGGTACAGATAAAGCAGCAGAACAGCTCAGAGCAGAGAGAGACCCTGTCACAGTAAGGGTTTTCCTCTGGCTGAACCTAAATGTGGGGGCAAAACTGAATTATGGAATTTCAAGGATGAGGGGCTCAAATAGGACAAGAGGAAATGGCCTCCAATTACCCAAGGGAGGTTTAGTTTGGATATTAGGGAAAATATTTTCATAGAAAGTGTTGTCAAGGACTGGAGGAAGATGTCCAGACCGCCACCATCAGGATTTAACAGGGATTTAACAAATGTGTGGCACCTGCAGACATGGTTTAGTGGTGGCCTTGGCAGAGCTGGGTTGATGGTTTGACTCAGTAGACTTAGAGGTCTTTGCCAACTAAATGATTCAAGATCAAATGATCAAGACAAAACAAGAAGAGAGAAGGAGACAGGAAAGATGCATATTGCAGAAGAAAAAACCCTATAAAGCATCAGATCTGCTCCTATCTCCATGGGGAAGGGGGAGCTCAGGTTTTCTTCTGTTTTTCTCCAGGGTTTTTTTCTGCAGTGTCCAGGGGCTGCCGGCCTCCCACAGCTGCCCTTCCCAGTGTTTGTCTGGGCTCTGTGGAATGCTGGCACAGTAACATGACCTCAGAAAATGCTCCTGATGGACTCAAGGGGAAACTTGCCAGAGAAAAAAGCAATTCTTTCCTGAATCACCCTCTGAGGGTAAAACAAACCACTGACTCCTGCCACGGCAATACCTTTCTCCTTTGGGGTGAGGCTTGGTAGCTTGAATGAAGGGAGCGCTGATTTCCTCTTCAGAGATCCTTCAGCCCCTATTAATAGTCACAGGTTCCCTTATTAACCAGTGTTTGATTAACAGGGAAGCCTGTGACAGCTGCTGCAAACAGAACAGTGTCCTGGAAGAACAGGGAATATCCAGGGATGGCAGAGAAGAAAGGACAGATCCCCATGTCCAGTAACCAGGGTGACTTCAGCTTCTCCCAGTCACTTTAACGTGACAGATTTGCCACAGTCAGATGACAACTGCAGCAAGGAAAGCATCACCCAGCCCTGATCTGCTTCTGTGCAGCCTCAAGCAGGGAATCTGAGCCCCATCCATTGGTGCATTAACCCAGCTGGCTCTGCACTGAAGCCAGCCAGTAACAGAGATCTGATGGTGGAAACTACTGATTTCAGAACCTACCACAGCCAGATTTTCAATTCCATTCTAACCACAGCTTCAAATATGCTTGGAAAGAGAAAAAGGCAGCTTTAACAGAGCCCAGTTTTAGCAGCAAATCTATGAAGGAACAATGTGAGATAATTACCTTCCTCTGGCTCAGGAGATGTCTTTCCTTTTAGGATTCTTGAAATATGGGCAACAGAAGCTTTTACTTTCTTCTTCAGACTCTGCTCCACTGACTGCTCCACTGAATGAGACCTTGCATAAGGCTTAAAGAGTCCAGGCTTGGTGTGGAGGGAGCTTTTCTGCTTCCCACTGCAGTCCTTTTGGGAGCTATACATTTCTTTATGGCTCTCTGCCCCTTTCCCCACGGCTAATAAGTTAGCTGCCTTTGAATCCTCGGATATTTCCAATTGGTTCTTCCTGTTCTTGTCTTCCTGTTCCCTGATGCACAGTTTTTTGTCCTTATGGAGATGTCCTGCAGGAGGGGACCTTGCCCTTTGACCAAGAAGCATAAACCGTCTAGGAACTGGTTTGGGCGAAGGCTTCTTATAGCTCAGAAACTCAAATGGAAAGTAGACAATGTCATACAAATCTGAGAAATTCAAATAGGCAGGCTCCACTTCTGAGATGTCAAATTTGTGGGGGCCACTGCCAAGACTGGGTGTTTCATCTGACAGGTCTTTGATTTTCACCAAAGAAACTTCTGGGTGTTTCCCAGTGTCCTTGATCACGGGCACGTGGATGGGTCTTTTTGTAGTGTCCAAGCTCTCTGTGGAGGAAACGCTCTCTGGGCTGGAAGGGGAGGTCTCAAATGCCAAGTCCTCCAGCTGCTCACATTCCTGAGGAACTGTCTGTGCTACCTGCTCCTCCAGGACTCCTGGCTCCTCACTCACAGCAAGGTAAGGTTCTGCAAGGCCATCCTTCTCAGTGACTTCTCCTCTTCCTCCCTGTTGGACAGAAGGGAAGGAGGTGTCCACACGTGCTTGGCTGCCTTTGTAGAACATCTCTCTGTGAGGAGAAACGTGTTTCCTGCTTCCCTTCTCTCCAGAAACTGACTCTGCCCAAACATTCATCTCTTCGGAGAGGGAAACCATCTCATCCACTAAGCCCTCCAGCACAGCAGACTCCTCATCACTGTAGAAAGAGGATCTGTGGTGTGACAGCTCCTGACTGTGCTCCCTGCGGAGCAGTGGTGTGGCAGCTTTTCCAGCATCACCTCTTCCACTTTCTAAGGCAATGCCTCCACCCTCACCATAAACCTCTGGATATTCCTCATATTCCAGGTCATAGGCGGAAGCTGAAGCAACTTCTGGTTGTGAAGGAGTTAATGCACCCGAACTGCCACTCTCCAGACCATCTGAAATCCCAGCCCTGTGCTGCTCAAACACCCTGTGTCCAGCCTTGGGGAAAGGAGCAGCCACAGTTTGTCCAGCTCCTCGGCTTCCTGTCACAACAGATCTCATCTCACTGTGAACTGGCACCTCTGGATGCTCTTGATTTTCCCTCTCCCAGACCTGAGGGAGGACGCTGCTTTGGGAGGATGCAGCTCTGGCTGGGTGTCTGCTCTCCAGAGCTGCAGGATCTGAGCCATGGCCTTCAGGAACCTCCTGGGGTTCAGCTCCTTCATGGGCCAAACTGGAAACAACCTCTGTGGCAAAAGCTGAGCTTTTATTCCTCAGAGCAGCAAGTTTCTCCTTGCTGAGAGCCTGCTGTGCTCCACCAGAGACCAGTGGTGGCACTGATCCTGGTGGTGGGATGTGGGGAATAGCGAGTTGCTCTCCCTTCAGGACAGCTGATGCTGTGTCTGAGTGAACAGGAGCCTTCTTGTGTGTTTGGCTTTCATCACCATGGGCTGATGGTGCAGTGATTCCTGGAACAGCTGCTTCTGCATCTTCCAGGACAGCAGATCTCACCTCTTTAAGGATCTTCAGTTTCTGAGGAGCACCTTCACCAGTGGTGAGGGTACCTGGCTGTTTGCCCAGCATGACAGTAGCTGCTGGAACACTTTTCCCAGGAATTTCCTCACTTTTGTCTTTACATACTGGAAGCAAATCAGTCTCTGTTTGTTCTGTTGGAACAGCAGAGCTTTCATGCTCCATGAGTTCAGATCCAGCAGTGCCATGAGCAGAAGTCTTTTCATCTGAATGTTTCTGCCTTTTGTCTTTCCAAGGTGGGGCTGGGGCTGTCCTTTTGATAAGCAAGCTTCCACCTGTTAGATCCGGGTGGCTGTAGGTGGGAGCAGGCTCCTGGGGCAGACACACGCCTCCCTTACTCGGAGGAGATGACCTCAGGGTGGTCTCTGACTGTGTGAGGGTTGAAATGGACTCTTTGCCCTCCTGAAAAGCAGAGTCAGAGGCACGGCCAGAGGCAGATTTACCCTCTGTGCTCTCATGTTTTGGAGCTGATGGTGCTGTTACATCTGAGCACTGGGCAGTTGGAATGGGGCTTTTGCCTTCCAAACACTCAGCATCCTCCTCAATCTCAGTGGCTTTTGACTTCTTCAGTAAACGCTTCCTGTTCTCACTCCTCAGAGGTGACACTGGAAATCCCTCTGGCTGTTGTATAAGAGCAGGTGGGCACCCGTTCCCCTCACAGTGTGTGGAGGGAGAGGGCTTCTCTCCTGAGCAATCCTTGCTGGCTCTCCTGACATCCCCTGGCTCTGCTGTGTCTGCTGAGCATCCCTTGCCGGGCCCTGCGGAAATGTCACAGTGATCACTGCCTTCAGGGCAGCTTTCCTGGGACAATACATCACAGTCCTCCTCCAAAATATCTTGTTCCCTCAGGGATCTGGAGGCTCTCAGCCTGTAGTCATCCAGGGAACGGCTGCGGCTGGCCCCAGCAATGGCAGGGTGTGGTGGCTTCCTGGCAGTGTCAAACGACGCAGATTTGGTCAAGGATCCCAGCAGACTTTCCTTGTGATCATCTCCTCCTCCTTCTTCTTCTTCTTCCAGTTCAAACTGCTCAAGGAGGGGTTCACGGAGGCCACTGAGGGGCACTTTTGAATACCCACCCTTCCTGAAAGTCCTTCTGGCTCTGTCCAGGTGCCTTCTGAACTCCCTGCCTGGTGAGGAAGGTGGCCTTGCAGGCAGCTCAGTTGCTTGGCTGTAGAAGGTGCTTTTGATGACACTCTGCCTGGGAACACAGGCAGATGGCTTTTCTGTCCCATCCCCTGCCTCCTCCGTTCTGTCCTTTTCAGATAAAGATGTATCTGGTTTTTCTTTCTGGTGCAGAAGCAATGTGCTTTCTGTGGAAGCCCTCAGGGATGAAGGCTCATCAGTGCCACCTTTTTGGGATGGCTCTCCCCGAAGGCTGGGAAGGAGCCTCTCCTCTTTCTCCTGTAAGACACTCGCCATGAGCTCCTTGCTCTCTGTGGGTGATTTGTCCCCCACCTCCGCTTTCAGCGAAGCATATTTCCTCCTCATGGGTTTTACTGGAGGGATGGAGCTTTTGGCAAGTTCCCTTTCACTCGCACATTTCAGAGGCTCAGGATGGCCTGGGACATCAAATACGGGCAGGTGCAGTTCAGGGGTGGAGCCAAAGTGCCTCTTTTTTGGGAAATTGGAGTTTTCGTTGTCCGAGGAGGAGCCGCTGGTGCTGGATGAAGTGCTCTCCTCGATGAGGTGTCGGGAGATGGCCAGGGAGCTGTTGTCATGGGTCCTTTCGAGGATTTCTGGGATGGACCTCATCACCAGGATGGATTTGTAGCACATCAGCGAGCGCTGAGAAGGAAAACAAGACACAGTCCAAGGAGATGGGAACAGTACAAGGATGGTGGGAGTATGGAAAGCACACATACCAAAATGAACTCTTGCACCCCGAATACCACACCCATGAGTCTGATTAGACACTGCCACTCTCTGCACGTCACCTCAATTTCTCTCCAAACCTCTTCCCTCATTCAGAGATATGAAATTAAATTGATTTCAGGGAACACACTTGCTCTTGGGACTGGGGGAAACAGGACTCTGTTCGAGATCTCCAAAGTCAATCTGGCCACTCAAAAGAGATGGAAAGGAGTTTTTGATGGAAAACATCAGATGAGAGACTCACTGGAGTAAATGGCTTTAAATCCTTTGACTGCAATGGAACCTACAGTGACTTAGGCCAGCAGAAAACCTAGCAAGTGTAGGAGATGGGACTCCTCTGCTCTAAATTCTGCCATGTGGGGCATCTCAGTTGAAGCTGGGCCTCTCCTTCCAGCCAGCAGAGAGAAACTGGCATGCTCAGAAGGCAATCAATCCAATTATTTGAGAGAACTTCAGGAAAAGTGGCATTTTCTTGGCACCTGCCTGTAATTCAGCTTCGATAGCAAAGGCAGCTGAGGGCACCTAACTCAGACACAACCTCGTGTCTTACAGGCACCAGCATGGGTTTCCAGGCAGAAAAATAATATGAATAATGAATTCCTGATACATCCATCTTTCCCAGGCTTTTTCCCAACTCCCAGCCATGCTCAGATCTCTGCTGAGCTCGCTGTCCTAGCCAAAAAGATTTTCAAAGATTCAGATGAAATTAAAAATAAAATATAACTAAACAGAATCGACACAGATTAGGGACAACTCACCTGCCACTTGCTCCGAGCCACAATGAATTTGAGCTGTTTGGTATTAATGAAATGAGCTGCTTCAAGAGGAACATTGTGCTGCCAGGTGGAATGAGAGGGAAAACATTGGTTAAAAAATCCTGATTTCATTTCTTGAGAAGTTTTTGTGGGTTTTTTTTAGAATTCTCTCTTTACACAATTGTTTAATTTAGGAAAGTTACATTAGATCAAATGCTGCAGTCCTTTCATAGTTAAATTGCAGACAAAAATCAGCTTTTCAGTGATTAAATCAGGCCCTGTTCAATACCTATCATTAAATTCTTTCTGCTGTTGTTAATTTTTAACTCTTTCCCTTACTGATTTAAAGCTTTGGAATATAAACCCTGACTCTGGTCTGCAAGGCCAGTTTCCTTTCTGTACTGACATGGTAGAACAAGAGGGAAAAGCCTCAAGTTGCACCAGGGAGGTTTAGATTGGGTATTAGGGAAAATTGACTAATAAAGGACCAGGACAAACTTACCATGAACCATTTGTGGGAAAGACAGTCCAAAGCACTCGGCCTGGATCTGGTAGGAGAACAGATTGATGTTTTAGTAGGAAGATCCCCTCCAACAGCAACCACTGATCTTCCTGCAGGCACCCACGACACACAGGGGTGTGTGCTTAGGATGCTGATTTGGAGCAGAGAAACCAAAAAGACACAGCAACTTCCAACTCAAGGTTTCTTTCCCCTGAAGGGAAAACATCCTCTTTTTTCATTCTGGTACTTCCCCACAGACACTCATGGCTCTCTGGAGGGAATCAAGGGTGTCCAGAGCAGCTCTGAGAGTGACTTTGCCTCTTTAGGTGGCCAGAGTGAAAATAGCCTTGGCATCAGGCAGAAAGAAGTGAAATTAAAATAAAGTGCTTGTAAATATGCCTTCAAGCCAACTTTTGTACTTGAAATTGCTTAATGAATGTGGTTGATGTTATTTAATTCCTGCACAACTCCCTCCATACCAGTCTGTGCCCTTCCCACTCATCTGTGTCATTCCAGAAACTCCTCAGCCTGGAGGAGACAGGGAGCAAGGACATTACCACACCAGAGAGAGGCTAATTTGGAAAATCTGAGTTGTGGGTTGGGTAATGGGGAATAATATGGAACAATTATGGCAAAATGCACCACATCCCTCTCAGCTTTCTGCTTTTCAAACCAAATGATGAGCTGGGACGTGCCTGCTGAGACCCCAACAGCTCTGCACAGAGGGAGGCACAGGAGGGCACTCACTTGGGGTGCTGCTGCAGGATCCCTTTCATGAAGTCCTTTGCATCTTCACTCAAGTGAACAACATCAGGAATGGTCCATGAAATTTCCCCGTTCTGGATATTCAGGAGAGTTTTCCTGTCGTTCTCCCCAGCAAATGGAGACTTGCACGTGAGGCTTGTTTATTGAGCACCATAAAATGAAAGGAGACAGGTTTTAGATTTCTATTTCATGTTTGAAAGACAGAAGCATAAATGCTTACAGGGAGTTTTTAAATACTTGGGGGGCTCTGTGCCTGAGATGTGCAATGTTCATGAAGAGGAACCAGGAAATGAGGAAACCACAAAATAAATTGTCCTTATTATGGAAGGACTACATGCTCCACTCAGATCCCTCACTTGAAAGTACTGCAGGGCTCTGGTGGACCAAGGACTATTGAGAGAATGTTTCCAAGACTTATTTACCTTAAATATGTGATGACTCCAACAGCCCTGAGGAGAGAAGGAACACAAATGTCATTTTTTGTCATATTTTTCCATCCTTCTCAAACCTCTCTTCCTTTCACTAAACATCCTGGAACAGCAAGGTTAGCTTCTCCTCACCTTTCAAGGATAATAAATCCCAAAAGTTATTGGGTTTTTTTCCATTCACTTTTCCCTTTCAATATTTTTTAAAATTGTTCTCAAGCAATCCTTCATTTTTAAAGCATGGATAGACAAAAAGACTCAAAATACTTATTTTTTTTTAACTTTGTTTGCCTTTTCTAGAAAGCCCTTTAGGATCATTCCCTCTAGTTGCTGCCTGGAGTAGAGATCATCTCCTCGAAGATGCTCCTTTCATTAATTAGCAGTCAGAGTTCAATTATGGCTGAAAAACATTAGACAGAAGGAGCTTTAAAGAGCCTTGATGGCTTTTGGATTGTCAGGGCTTGCTTTCAGTTTCCTGTGTTATTATCACTGCTTCGTTTACTAATTATCAGCTAATGGAAATTCAGGCCATTGAGGGCCTGGAAAAGCTTTCTGGGGAAATGAGAGATTACCAGATATCAGTTGCTTTTGACACTGGTGACTGGGAAACAATTTCTGGGGCAACAAACTCCGGAGAGCCGTATTTGCTGTACTGGGGCTCCACGGGTGTGATCCTCTGGGCAAATCCAAAGTCACAGATCTTCAGGTCTTCTCTCTCAGGATAAACCATGAGGATGTTCAGTGGCTGTTGAATGGAAAAAAATAAATGGGGTAATATTTCTTGAGAGCAGGGCAGGGAGTATTTTCAGTTGTGTTTCAGAGAACACCCAAACCCTGGCCAACAAGAACTTGGGAAAAGCCAGACCAGCCATTGCTCGTTACCTTGATGTCCAAGTGAAGGATGTTGTTGTCATGAAGATATTTGATTCCTTCCAAAATTTGCTTGATGTACAATTTGACCTAAGAATTGAGTCAGTTATTAAGCAATTAATAAATAAACAAATATTAAACAGGGAGAGCAAATAAAGAGTTGCTGATTTCACCAAGATTTGATCTTTAAAGGTCCCTCCCAATCCAAACCATTCTATAATGTTTCCCTCTGAGAATTTCTAAAAAAAAAATAATTAATTTTACCAGTAAATATTGGACACCTGGCTATTAGATGTGAGACGTGAAACATTTCGAAGTTTTAGCACCAAGGATGTGAAAAAAATCCCTTAGAAACCGTAATTTCAGCTTTTCTTTTAAAAACAGAGAGGGACTAGATAGAATACAGTTACAAGAGGATAAAGTGGTATTAAGTAAGTGGAGCTAGGAGCTCCAGATGCCAGATAGAAAAGAAATTACGACAATAGAGTAAATAAAATCTTTTTTTTTTTGGCTGAATGCAGTGCTGGTGGTCAAACCCCCTGGATGTTTATATTACTCCCTAAAGAAACCAGCTATAAATGAAAGTTAATAGGAACACACTGTAAAGGGTGATTCTGCTTTGATAGATATGACTGGCTCATATTCCATATTCCAAAAGGAAAATGCAGAAAGAACCAACTCAGCTTTCAAATGAGAAATTACCTCAGCTTCAGTGACCACATTCTTCTTGAATAAGCGGTCCAGGAGCTCTTCATTGGAGCATCTGGCAGTGGCATTAAGGGACAACAGAATCACATGGAAAAGCTTATTTTGACTTATTTGGAACCACCTCCATCCAGCCAAAAGCAGAAGTCATGAGGTGATCTCAGGCAGTGGGATCACCATGAAAATCTCTGCTGCCACAGAGTCCTTGCAGAGCTGAGCTGCTCTAAACCTGGTATCAGTTCTGCTAAAATCTGCCTGTTGATTTTGGGGTTTCTGTTCTGCATTTCCCTCATGCTCACCCAGACTGCATCTCATGGAAACAGAGCTCATAACTTCCAGATGTTTCAGAAAATAATTTTGGTGCTTAACAATTCACTCACACTTGTATATACAAGTCTGATTTTTCTCCAGTACTTCCCAGCCTCTTCAGTCAACTGCACAAAAAAAGGATACAACTCCAGAATCAAAATCAGTGTTTTTCGTGTCTCAAACTCATCCAGGAGCCTGGTAATTCTGTCGTGGGACAGAGAGGTAAGAATATCCCTCTCTTGATGAGCTCGAGACTTGGTTTTGCTCCGCAGAGGGATGAACTTGGCAGCACAGGACACCCTGTTCCCCTTGTGCACCACCCTTTTCACAAAGCTGAAGCAGCCCCTGTGCAGGAATGGGAGAACAAGCCCTGATCAGACCTGGGCAGAGATTTTCCCACACCATGGCCTTTGACAGCTCCCTGCTGCTCGGTGTTTCTGCAGCACAAGAAGCTCATTTTGCTGTGTGTGAGGTGCTGTTGCCCTCTCCTGGCTGTCTGCAAAGGGAAGCAATGTGTTCCCATCAAGGAAAAGCTGTTGCAGATGATGCAGGCTCATGCTGGCAAAAGCTGGTGCTCTTGGATCCCTTGGACAGACATGATGTGATGGGCTTGGGATGCTCCTGTCACCAAGAAGCCACATCCAGGCACTCCTCTGTGAGCCTTTGGATGTTTCTTCTGGTTGGAGCTGCCCCAGCACACCTTGGAGTGACCTCCCACTTCTCCCTTCCACCTTTTCAGGCTTTTCAGGACCCACCTCTGCCTCAGCAGCTCAGGTGGGCAGTGAGATATTCCCTGGCAGTGATACTGTAGAGTTGGAAAATTAATTTACCTTCCAATCTCCTGCTTAACCTCATAATGGGAGTGGAGCTTTCTCCTGGTGGCCACTTTCTTTCCTTCTTGGTCTTTCTTAGCTTTGGAAATGAAGGAAAACATAAGGGTAATTAATGCAATAGTGTGCAAAGTTATTACAGGATAATTTAAGGCAGGAAAAATTAGAGGGGTCTTCTAAACTTGTATGGAGAATTAAGTGATGTTTGATAACAGCATGTGTCAAAATGAACTTTGGGGCTGCCCAGAGAAGTGGTTCCCCCATCCCTGGACATGTTCAGGGTCAGGTTGGATGGGGTTTGGAGGAACCTGGGATAGTAGAAGGTATTCCTGCCCATGGCAGGGGGTTGGAATTAGAGGATCTTTAAGGTTATTTCCAACCCAAACCATTGGGATTTTGTGATTTGCTTTTATCCTGGATCCTGCCATACTGGCCATATATAAATGCTACACAGGAACACAGAACAGATTCCATACAGCTACCAGAACATGAGTGCAACAAATTACACATTGCCATGGCAGTGGAAACAACTCCTGCAGCTGAGAGGATGGCGTTGCCCTCACAGGTTGGGAAGGTGACATTGCCCTCACAGCTGAGAGGGTGACATTGCCCTCACAGCTGAGAGGGTGACATTGCCCTCACAGGTTGAGAAGGTGACATTGCCCTCACAGGTTGAGAAGGTGACATTGCCCTCACAGGTTGAGAAGGTGACATTGTCCTCACAGCTGAGAGGGTGACATTGCCCTCACAGGTAACAAGGTGACATTGCCCTCACAGGTTGAGAAGGTGACATTGCCCTCACAGGCAAGAGGGTGACATTGCCCTCACAGGCGAGAGGGTGACATTGCCCTCACAGGTGGGAGGGTGACATTGCCCTCACAGGTTGAGAAGGTGACATTGCCCTCACAGCTGAGAGGGTGGCATTGCCCTCACAGGTGACAAGGTGACATTGTCCTCACAGCTGAGAGGGTGACATTGCCCTCACAGGTTGAGAAGGTGACATTGCCCTCACAGGTGACAAGGTGACATTGCCCTCACAGGTGAGAAGGTGACATTGCCCTCACAGGCGAGAGGGTGACATTGCCCTCACAGGTGACAAGGTGTCTTTACCTTCACGTACGACGAGCTCTGCTTTGCACAAAACCTCTCCTCCTGCATTTTTGGCAACGCAGGTATAAACACCACCGTCTTCCAAGGCAGCATTGTCCACGACTAAGAAATACGTTGTTCCTTCCTTCCCCTGATGGACCCTGTCGCTGTCTGTCAGCAGTGAGGTGCCCTGAGGGAAGGAAATGACATTTTGGCACTGGCAAAGCTGAGATGGAAACAGATGTTTCCGCTCTTCAAGAGGTGAGATACAGGAGCAGAGCTACACCACAGACTATTTACGTGAGCAAAACTCACGTAAGAAAATGCTGCCCAGGGGAGTGGTGGAGTCACCATCCCTGGAAGTGTTCAAGAAACAACTGGATGTGGGTCTGGTTGGCAAGGTGGTGTTCTGTCAAGGGTTGGATTCAGTGATCTCGGAGGTCTTTCCAACCTTAATGGTTCTGTGATTCTGTATATTCATAAATGCTATGAAGAAAGGGGCAGGATGGAGTGTGTGTGACACAGAGCAGATTGTGAGCATTTGCAAACAGTCCCTATGACAGTAAAATGCAAGATAAAAATATATAGTACAATATGTACATATCTGTATATAATACCACAAATATGAAGCAATGCAATCCTGATTTCCTGCATAAAATCTCTGTTTCTGAGCTTTTAAACTTTAAATTTTACAAAAATTTAAGTTAGAATAAATTACTCTACAGCAGCACCAGCTCAGAGCTTGGTGGGCACTAAAAGGTACCAGATACTAGAAATGATTAGGGAAGAAATGAAGGATAAGACACTTTGATGTGTCTTATAATTTGTTAAATGCTTTGTTTGCCCATGGTGTGGTACTATTTGGAACATCATCAGCACCCAGAGTTTCCAGATGAAGATTGACAGCAGATTTGGGCTCTTCAGCTTGGAAGGCAAACTCTAGCAAGATATGACAACAATATTCTAAGGAATAATAAATAATTTCTCTCCTTTCTATGGGATATTCATTGCCCTTAGTCACACTGATTTTACTAATTACTAATTTGCTAGTTGCAGGAAAGATACAGAGCCTCAAAGTTACACTGACAATTGGGGTAAAACCCATTCAATCCCATTCCTGCCCCCAAACTGCAGCACACATCTCAGTGGCACTCAGGTGGAAACAATTTCTCTTCCTGCTCTTTTTGGTCCCCAAAACCCATCTTGGTTGTCCTCTCTGCAAAAAGATCCAGGGTGACACTGTGACAGCCCAGGGTGGGATGCACAGGTGGTGGCTCAGTGAGAACAGCTGGTTCCACAAACTTTACAGACACCATCCAGAGTCAGTGTGGGAGGCGTGGGAGGAAAGAGCAGACAAAATTCCCTGTGCAACAGTGCATTCCAGCCCCTCCCATGATCCCCCCTCTCAGCCAGAGAAGAGTCTGCACTCACCTTAAACCACAAAACTGTGGGCTGAGGGGTTCCTTCAATGACTGCCTGGAATTTGGCACGTTCCCCAGAGTTCACCTGCACATCCTCTATTGTCACTTGCATGTAGGGAGGACCTGGTGAGAAAAGAGCATTTGCTACATGCAGAGCACTGGAACTTCTTTCCCAGTGTGCTGACAGGGGTGGAGTTACTCAATGGGGTTTATAGTTCAGGCCATTCAGGATGTAACAGTAGTTTAAAGTCAAATCAAGAGGTAGAACAAAAATATATTTAGGGTTCTTCAGGCTGGCATTACTTTCAGGCTTCTTATCTTCACACTTAGCTATTACTTTTTGTTTAATAAACAGTTCCCACTCAAAAAATTGGAATATTAAAAAACAGAACAGTCAGGAGTTGTTAACAAAAGAGAAGACAGTGACAATCATGGGATTAGGAAGGGGAAACAGGGTTTGGTCTTACTTGTTGGAGTCTTCTCCTCAGTCTTATACACACGAGTTCTTTCTGTGGTTTCAATATAAACTTCACTGTGCACAACCACGTCTCCTTCTCTCCTGTACCAGCCTCCTGCCCCTGCATCTGGTGATGTTCTTTCAAGAGACCCAAGAGAAAAGATCATGGCAGAGGCACAAACAAGACATGCAGGGTTACACCCTGCCACTGATCTGTTTAACCAGCAGACAAAGAGTTATTTGCTTAAAATTAATACAGGAAGAATTTTGGTTTGGGGGTGCGGGATTAATTTCTCTCTGACTTTTTTCACCCTTCTTTGACAAAGCATTGTCACCAGGATTCTGAAAATAATGACAAACCTACAAGAAACTGTTCAGGTCCACCACATGGGGACTTTCTTTTCTTACACCATACTCTGCCACATTCAGAAATCCACATGTATTAGCTGGATATATGGAGGTGGGTACTTACCTGTTGATGGGAACGGTGCGTTCCTGAGCGCTTGCACCTCCAGCAGCCTCCTCTTCCCGGGGAGGAGCAGGGCTGGGCTTTGGCACCCCTGGTTCTTCAGCTGGAACCTGCCTCTGTGCTTTGGCTGGCAGCAGAAATTGGGCAAGTTAGACACGCTACCCACGAGGCCACACCCAACCTTTGAAGCCATCCCTGGTGTGCCTCGTGCCAGAACAGAGTCCAGCTCACCTCAGCTGGGTGCAGCCACGGAAGGTTAGAGGAGAATTTGGCACTTTTGCAAAGAGCACATGGAGTAAAGGGGTTGGACAACAGCAGAGTGGTGGCACTTGTCTGACTGGGCTCACCTGACTGTTCTGTGAGGAAACACACACGGACAAAGGTGGCAAAGACAGGGAAATATGATCAGCTGGAAGGATAGTGTGGGCTTACACAAGCCTTTATAAGAGATAATTTAACTGTGTTTGAGTTCCAGCTCTTGGCTGAGAGGAAGTCATGGAATCACAGAATCATCCAGGATAAAAGAGACCTTTAAAAACAAGTCCAGCCATCAACCCAGCCAAGTCCAACACTGAAATGCATTCCAGGGAAGCCCAGCATTAGCTTTGTCCACAGGAATTCTTCCATTCAGCTTTGCATTGGAACAGTTCATGGCTCACTGCTGTGATCATCAGGGACATGAGTGAGCTCACATGGATGTGAACTGGTGGTCAAAGCAGGTCCTGGCAGAGGATATGACTGATGTGGAGGGAATATGGCCTCTTACAGAGGACCTGGTGACGTTTTAGCATCAGCATTGCTGAGTCTCCACTGAAAAATATCCTTGCACAGCTCTAAGTTACACCAGGACAAGGTTTGGCATCTGGGGCTTGATGAAACCAAAAGATGGTTTGATGAAACCAAAAGATGGCTGTTTCAGTTATTTTTCTTCTTTTATTATTAATTATTTTATCAGATATAGCTTCAAAACCTGGTTTGATCTCACATTCCAAAAGTACCTGGTTGTCTTTTGATACTGACCATTGGAATTACACCGTAGGATAAAGTGCATCTCTTTTTTCATTTAAGGAGAAAAAGGTTAAATCTAGAGTAGTCTTCTCCCCAGAAGGTAGGAATATTTTAGGGAGCGCTCTAGGGATGTTTGGTGCTGGCTGGTTTTGGGAAAGAGCAGCTGTTCCTAGAAATCACATAAAACAACTCCATTGGGGTGGAGAAATGGGTTATTCAAGGTATTACTGGATCAAAGATCCCGGGTTATGGGATTGTGCTTTCCTATCACCAGCACTATTGAAATATTTACCTCCTTTTTATTTAAGGCATGTGATCATAGAGAGAGATGTTAAGTGGCCATCTGATTAAAATAATTCCCATAACATGTTTAGTTTTGCTCAGATGAAAGACTTGCCAAACCATCTCATTCATTATTTTACTTTCTCTTTAGCAGTGACTGAGGAAATAATCTGCTAGGTGATATTTTACTTAAGGATTTTGAGTCATCTGCCTCTACCAGAGGATTATTTCCAAAGATGATTTCCTACTAGAAAGAAAAAAAGGTTTTAAAGCCCTAACATTTTTTATGCTATTATTTTGGGTCTGATTCCATGAACAGCTTTTATTCTTGCTGTTTTAAATAATAATATTTATTTTTTAAGGAATTATTTGTAGTTTGAGGGCTGAAGGCTACTTGGCATTGTCCTTTAAGTTAACAGTGGTGGAGAACAGTTATTCTGACTTGACAGAGACAGCTTAGACAAGTTGTTATGGCAGAAGCAGAGGAAGAGTGGAAGGGTTGTCACTCATCCATGATTTTCTAAAAGCAACAGAAAGACAAAGGACTTGTTCTCCTGGCAAGACACAGCCACACACACAGTTGGGTTTAGTCACACAGAAGCTGCAAGGAGTCTCTCCAGGCTTCAGGAGCAGTGAAATGCAGGTGAACTTGAGGCACCCAATCCCCTGGAGAGTCTCTGATGGTTGGTCCAGGATATTAAAGAGATTTCCAGCTTGTTTACAGCGAATAATAAAATAAAAGCAACCACCCTTACCCACCCCACCAAATCAAAACCCAAATGACTTCTCTGAATGTAAAGGAGAGATCTCACCCCACCTTCTCCCCCAAAAGTACTTGAAGACCAGGGGAAAAGCCCAAAGGTGGAAAAAATCCCCTATTCCTTAATTTTGGGCAGGTGATGAACCAAACTCTGTTTCAGACATGGTTTTCAAACACCTCCTGCTTCCAGAAAGATCTGCCCCAAACTTAGATCCAAGCTAACCCCAACCCACCCTCCATGTTTCTTTGGGTCTGAACGTCCTCTTTTAATCTTCATCTGCTAAAAATGCAATGACACAATGAAAAATGAGGTTAAAAACATCATTACTGGCACGTTCAATATTTCTCTGTCTCTCAACTCCCGGGGGACATCTCCCACCTTCATGCCAAACCTACCATGGTCTCCAGCAGCCTGGGTTTGGGTGCTGGCTTCATGAACTACCACGGAGGGCCCGGCTGCTGCCCCTGAGTGCTCTGAAGGAACAGGCCCAGGAGGGCCAAGGCCAAGGCCACCATCTGCTCGCATGCCCGGGGGGAGAGTCACCAGCAGTGACGCCGAGTCCATGAGTTTTTTCAGGGCTGTCTTGATCTCCTTATCAGCGCGCTGGAGCGAGGCCTGCACAGAAGTCTCCGTCTCTGACTGGGGGGAAGTCATTCCTACAGACAAGAACAACAACTTTTCTCTCTTAAGGGCTAAAAAGAAAACACTAGCACCATCCAACCCATGGAAATCTGAAACTGTATCATTTTCCCCTCCTAGAGAAGAGAGTTAATGAGGAAATGCTTAATTCCAGCAAGAGGAAATATAGCTGAGAGTTAAAATAAGAAGGTTGGTACAAAATGCTTTGGAAAGTTGTATCTCAGCAGGCTGGAGACACTATGGGAACACCTGGCTTGTTCCCAGATCATGGAACAAAGGATCCATCTCCCAGCTCAACCCGATATTGGTCTGTCAAAAATACCTTTATTAATCACAGAATATCCTCAATGGGAAAGGATCCACAGGGATCATCCAGTCCAGCTCCTGGCCCTGCACAGTCACCCAACAATCCCACCCTGTTCCTGGGGCTGTTATCCAAACATTCCTGGAGCTCTGGCAGCTTTGGGGCTGTGCCCATTCCCTGGGGAGTCTGGGCAGTGCCCAGCACCCTCTGGGGGAAGATCCAACCACTGGATAAGACCAATGACATGAACCCATTGCACTGATACAGACCCTACATGCAAGGAAGACGTTATCTCACAGGGAGGGAACAGGAATCAGCCTCATCAGTGACTCTGGAGAAGGGCAGGGGAACAAAGGGAGGGCTGTTCTTTTTCATCAAAGTCTGGCAGAAAAGCCACTCCTTGCTCTAGGGTGGTGTTGTTTGTCCTAGTTCACAGTATCTAAATATTTCTGATGGGTTTGCATGTAGAAGGCTGGGATGGGATCACAGACTGCAGGAGCTCATCTCACCCAATCTCCTGCCAGATAAACCTTCCAAAAATCATGAAGAGGCACAAAGGGATGGATGGTACCTAGGCAAGCCCCCATGTAATCATGAAGACAGGGAAAATGCAAGTCAGATTAGGACAATGATCATTCTTGATGTAATTGCTCACCAAGCAAGAGAGAAAACTCAAATTATCACATGGTTTGAGAAAAAAACAAGAGTGTTTGGAATAAACAGCTCTGACTTGTTTAATGTCATTGACATTAATGAGCATGTCCAGTAGGGGTTTTGATTCTGCTCCTTTTCTGGCCTCAAGAAAGTCAATTCCCATGATAGACCTGAGAAAATAAAGTTGAAGGCTATGTGTGGATGAAGACATCTCACTTGATTTTGTTTTCAATGATCATGATTTCAATATTTCTTTCCTAAATTTGTTGATGGAAAAAAGCAAGATTTGCTCACGTGATGTCCCATCACTGTTCATCAACACTGGGCTGGCTGGAAGACATTAAATATTTCTCTAGAGAAATACCTGGATTCTCTGGTGTTCCTGCTGTGTTTTCTGCCAGCTGGTGCTGTCCTGTGAACTGGGCAGCTGCCAGTGAGTGAAAGGATTGGAAAGGCATGAAACACTCAACAGGAAATATGTTCACAGGTGTAAAGACATGGATGTGGAGGTTATATACAATCACTGGTCTCCCCCGTGCTCCAACACCACCAATTTCCCCCCTGCCTAGGGGACATTACATCACTTCCTTCTTTTGGACACTGATTCAGGCTGAGGAACTTTAATATCCCCAGGATACATAGAACTATAGAACTAACAAACACCACAGTGATGACACCCTGTGATGGACACCCTCTTTCCCAGCTCTGAAACCTCAACCTTGAACCTTTCCACCCCACAACTTCAGCCCATCCCCAGGAACTCAAGACTGACACATATTTTGGAGCTCAGAAGTTTGGTCTCAGAGAAGGACCCAAGAGGATGTGAATCATTCAAGATTCCTGAGTTGGAAATATCCCTAAAATCAGGTTTTTTTCACTTCAACACTCCAGAAACTGTCCATAAAAAAGGAGCCAAAGCCCAACTGCATTAATATTCTTGGATTGCAACCCAGCTCCTGCTGAAGTCAGCGGGAGAAGAGGATGAGCTGATGGAATATCAAGTGCTGTAACAAAGAACACAGAAACCCAACGAGTTCAGTGACAGCTGATGCAAGACATTTATTGATTTAAACTCAGCATCTAACAGCATATCTTGCACTTGACTTTTTTTGTGTGTGTGGCTGGTTTTTTTTTTCTTTTTTGTATCTCAAGCAAACTGAAGTTTCCACTTTATTAATACCCATTTACCTGCAGGAATTTCAATAAAACATTCACTGTATTAAAATCTTTCATACAGCTGTATCTTTTCATCTACAGGAAATAAATCCCCACACATCTCATTAGTTATCTACACAGTTTAATCACTTACAAGCATAATTTTTAACCTCTAGGAAAATATTTTGAAAGTATATGCAATGAAGTTCTAATAAACCTTTCACTTTTTGAAAAGAGCCCTGCATAGAATTTTAAAAATTCCCTTCAACTTTTCTCTTTTGCTTAAATTTCAAAAGAAAATGTAAACAGATGTTAATTGCTTTGAGCTAATGAATCAAAGTATAATTATTTCTTCTATGACCATCTGAAGTGCAGCCTTAGAGCTTCTTTAGAAAAACCTGAGTGTCGACCACAACAGGAGGAAACCTCCACATTCCTTTACACATCCTCATTATCTTTGGTTTGAATATTAAATTTTTTGAAGACTGTCACAGGGCAAATAGTTTTCTCAGCAGTATTTGATCTGAATCAAATCCACTTCCTTCTGTGGAATTATTCTAGATTGATACTAGAATAACTGTGATCAGAGTCAGGCTCAAAATAAAAGAAGTGTTTTTAGTTTTGGAAGCATTTCCCTGTTGTGTGTCTGTTACTTTCCAATGTACAGTGCAATATATGAAAAACAATATATATATCCATCGTATTGCTCCATTATAAAACAAACAGTATAAACCAAGGAGATGTTATAAAAAAATGGGATAGTACCATAAAGGAAGCTTGATTTCCTTCACCACTGGAAAAGCATCCTATATCATGAAGGTAGTGCACGCAACATCCTGAGTGGATGTTGAAAGTGAAAGGCTGTGAAATCAATATGTTCATTTTAGTCAGCACAAGGTGCAGCTGCAGAAGGGAAAAAAAAAACGACTTTTCTACAAGCACCTTTTGTGAATTCAGTCCCTGTTGGCAGGAATATTGCCCCAAGCCTCCAGAACGAGCTCCTCGATATCGCCTGGCTGGGAAACACTGAGCCAACCTCATCCATTCCTTCCCAAGGCAGAAACTCACTCCTCTCCACTCTCTCCTCATGCTTCTTAGAAATTCAGCTGTGCCTGAGCATTTCTGGTTTCCCTAAACCATAAATGAAAACAGTTTCTGCTGAACACTTCTACAGGGCTCAGCTGGGACAGGGTGTGGGGACTTCTCACCCCACATCTCTGTCACCAGAGAGGGCCAGTGCAGGATCCTGCTGAGATCAATGAGCTCCAGCTGGCACCAAGATTTGGGCCTGGGAACTCATCTCTTACCAGAGCAGTTTGTTGGAGGTCTGGGCAACATCCGTTTTTGGTGAAGCCAACAGGGATGGGCTATGCTCAGTGCACCTCAGCCTTTCCCTCATGCAGCATTCCCACTGCAAAGCTCCAGAGGAACTCCACAGACAGTTCCTCCTCGAGGCACCTCGACCTTCCTGGTTACAGTAATACGATGCAATTGCAACTGGCAGCCCAATACATTTGGAACAGATCTATGTTTCAACTGAATATTTATGGTAAAGCTCTTTTTTCTCTTTATTTATTTCTTTTTTAATCTGTGCTCCTGCTACTTTGCCATAGCCCAGTGGTAAAATTCCTCTTATCACATATAAAGGACATCATGGATCAATCTTTTAGCAGGAATGTTTCACCACTGGCATGTTCAGGAGACGAAATACTCATCCGGTCATATTTATTGGCAAAGACCACATCTGTGGTCCTTTGAAGACCACATTTGTCGTTCTGTGTATTTGTTAATGTTTGACTGCAGATGCAGCAATTATTTTGTGCAGCACTTTAAACTTTCAGTGCATGTTAACTAAATTATATTTCAAAAGATATGGTTTATAAATCCACCACACTAGAATGCAGAATAATGAAACCTACATTATCAGACAACTAGGAAGTGGATTTTAAAATATCCATAATTTAGAAAAGATAGTCTTTTTCACTTAAAGCAGAAGAGAACAACAAAAGTTTTGCTTCCTCACAACAGTGGGACTCTCACCACTGACCAGAGTCAAACTGGGATTTCAACCCAGTTTGAATCCCTGGTATGTGTAATATTTCCTGTATATCTCATTATATGGCAGAAGGTTAAAATAATACACCCAGACTGTGTGTGTTGAAAGGTTTAGGTAGAAATTTTGGTAGAGCTAATTGGTGTCACAAGTGTAGAGCAGAGTCAAAGCAGAGTGAAGCTTCATGACTTTTGGGCCCACACGGTGACAGGAGACACCCCCTGTCTTGGGCTACTGAAGGATGCTGAAAAGCTTAGATACTTTCACCTCCTTGCCACACCATAAACTGACACGTGAAACAATTACTAAGTTCATGGACAAAAACCACACTTCTTCATCTTTATTTCTGTCATAGGTAGAAGAATCAGGCTTTTCCTAAACCTCCCATCACTGCTCCACTATGGAATGATACATGTTCACCTAGATCAAAGCTTTTAAAGTTACAAACTGTTCTGACAGACTGTTCCCTTTAAGACTGGAAAAGCTTGACACATCATATTTAAATACATTTCCCTCTAAGGTATTCCCTTGTACTTGTTACCTCGCAATCTTTGCCACCAATTCCCCTCGCCTACAACAATTTTGATTATTTTTCTTTTTTTTTTTTTAATAAAGCTGCTATCTTTGGTGTTAAAAATTATGCTTGTGTCTGCTCAGCTCTGGGAGAGGTCTTCTGTGCTGATGTGCAAGGTGACAGGCTCGCCAACAGTCCCATAGCTGAGGGTTCTGGTGGAAACTTCAGTTTTAAAGCTGGACTGCCCGTTGTCCGCTGAGCGCTGGACCTCGGTGCAGAAGGAGGGCTTCACCGTGAAGGAGGGCCCGGGAGGAGCCGCGCGGGAATCGCTCACGCG